GTCGTCTAGCTAAAAGTTAAGAAGGAAGAATTCTTTGCGTCCTCGTTTGATGAGTCAAATGCAGCGTGCAGCAATTCTACTTGTGTAAGGCCAGGTGCGGAATAAGTTGTTGGTATGCAGTGTGATATCTGCTCCCGCTGGTATCACACAAGTTGTACCGACCTCCGACAAATTCAGTACAAAATGTTATCATTCAGGGAAAGCTTGCTCTTTAGATGTGCCGACTGTTGCACTCAAACTGTGAAACCCCCGACTTTCAGCTGTGCTGAATTTAGAGCACTAGCATTCAGGTTCACCGTTGTTAAGAAGGCGTTAGTCGATTTTGCCTTTCTCGCCTTGCTCAAATCTAAAGTGTATTTGACTATAAAAACCCAGAACAGTGCGAATGTAGCCTCTGTAATGGGCTGCTCCACTGCTGGCAATCCATCCGTTGATAAGTTGTTCGTCCTACCGGAACTTCCAGGTAACATAGAGCTAACAGACTCAGATGCCTCGGATGGCCTTTTTGACCTTCCCGAAATGGAAGGTCAGTCACGGGCCCCTGGGCAAAAAACGGATAAACGTAAGAGGGCAGGGAAAGCGCGCAAACCCTGTGCTCAAAATCGGGGGGTGATAAAACCTCAGGCGGCAAGCGTCTGAGCTGGAAGCACCACTTGGTGCTGCAATTCCCTCAATGAGACATGAGGTGCCCACGCCTTCGGACCCACTGATTTCCGTCAAACAAACACGCAGTGTGTATGGCAAAGCATATGAAGTAAATACACCTCATCGGTGCAATCCTTACACAGATAGCTGGGTGGTTTTCAGAAACGACCCTGAATCCACTTCGACTCTTCCGACCGAGAGCACTCTTCATGGTCTTGCTTGGCCTAAAGTTCGCGTGACCAGGCTTTCACTACCAGGTTCCCCGTCGTTACTGCCAGGAACCTCATCAGGTTAGGGAAGTTCCGGTAGGTCAACCAAATCCTCGACTTCGTCTGATTAGGTGCTTCGCTCCACATCAGAAGGGCGCAGGGCATTGCTGCGCTTTTCAATCAAGCTCAAGCTTATCAACGTTAGTGTGCAATGTGACCTCCCGTTAGCGTATGGATTGAGGTTAAAGGAAGTCAGTAGAGTTCTAAATGCCTGGCGTGCAGCTGGCGGATAAGTTCACTGATTGGTGGGTGTTTAGCTGCACAGTAGGAAGTCCTTTTGTGCTCTGCCACACCTATTCCACTTGCGCACGAACCAGTGCTCGTCTTGCCGAAGTAATTAGAGTGGTAGTTAGCAACTACGTAGACTGCAACACAAGGCATGCGAGGTTGGTCTGCTCGCAGACAAATCTCCTAGTGAGATACTTGTTTTCACTACAACGTGGCTGGCTGAAGAAATCAGGGGGGCGAAATGTATCTGTTTTGCTACGAGCCGTCCCGCGCTGACCGTGCCACTAGCCTTCAAGGAGTCGGGGTAGCATGTTATGTGCGTTGCCAAAACGACGTATTGTGGCCCAGCGTTTTTCAGGAGATCGACAAATCTCTCGACGCCCCGCAGTGTTGATTTGCGCGCACTCGGTTCAGGTTACGATCACGTTGGTGTATAGAAACACTATGAGCACCTCTACTGGAATCATCGCGTTTATACGAACGCACTCCGCGAACGAGTGTCTGGTGCTGGGAGCCTTTAATCTCTCAGAGATTTTTGGGCTGATTTTTATTGCTTTCCGAAGCTGAACTCGTTCGGTGTAGAACTGCTGGACGTGCCGCTGAAGGTACACCACACCAGTTCGTGGACCTCCACACTAGGTACATGAACAATTAGCAGCCGTTCGCTTTAGCTCATGTTTTTGCTAAGTTACTTGACTTTGTAAATGACGTTATTCGCGACACGCGTCTTAGCGCCAGCGTTCCCGTTTGCATGACTTTCCAGTGCACCCTTGACAAATCCTACCAAGCTACTAGCAGTTGGTATCCGAGCGTTTGGGCCGCGAACTTCCAAGCGATGCGGGAGAGAGCTAGGTCGTTGTTTTGTATGATATCTGAGGCCGACACTGTTCACCTAGCTTTGGAACAACTTAAGGCTCACCTCGGTGACATTCCTGCACCTTAAATCCCACTGGTGAAAAGATGGAAATCGAAAGCACAGCCTTCGTGGATCACTTGCGTGAGGAAAGACCTGCTAACCAAGCGCCTAGATGCTGGCGAGCGTATCGAATATTTCCGTCCTACAGCACGTTTGACAGGTGTCGGTTGTGTCGAACTGAGTGCAAGCAACATTTTAAAAGAGGCCTTATCTGATAATGCCTGGACAACTTCCAAGTAAGTATTCGCCTACGTTAAAGGTCGCTGTGGTGTAACCTCACACATACCACGGTTGCTTCAAAGAGATGGGGCCATGCCTATAGCGACTATGACAAGGCGTGCATGCTTGGTGAGCAACGATCAAGCGTTTTTGTCCGCGAAACAAATCGCCATGCAGAGAACTTGCTTCAGGGGTCTCCGATGACCCTTCTCTGGATGCAATTCTTGTAACTGAGTCTCATGTGCCCAGGTTGCTGAAGGAGGTGAATCCAACTAAGGTTTCTGAGCCAGATTCTGTTTATCCAAACTTATTGCACGAACTCTTGGTGAAAATCAGTGACCTCTGAATGGTGTGTTTCAGTACTCACTCAATAGCTGTGTCTTACCTACAGAATGGAACATGGCTGTTGTCTGCCCGAGCTTCAAGTGCGGTGACAAATACCCACCTGCTAATTACAATTCTGTCAGCTTGACGAGCGTGGTCGTTAATTAAGTTGAAAACTTAGTAGGAGACACAGTGGGGCAACATTTGAATGGATTTAACCTGTTTATCTACGAGCAACATGGTTTCGGTAATGGATTTTGTTGTTAAACGTATGGCTGGCAACTTATGGGAGCTGGGCTGAAGTCGCAGACAGTAAACATGCGGTGTTCCTGGTGTTCTTTGTCTCCACCAAGACCTTTGACACTATCCCAATAACCAATGCCACTGAAGTTGCGGTCGTATGGAATACCTGGTCGCAATCTCCAGTGGAAGTCCGGTTATATGGATGGATTCGAACGGGTTTTCGTGTGGGACGCAGTCTTGAGTTTTGACAAGTAGTCCTTAGTGGCGTACCGCAAGAATCTGTCCTGGGTCCGCTGTTGTTCTCAGTCTGCGGGAAGGCTTTACTGAGGAGCTTGAGGTACCATCGCACTTATTTGCCGATGTACTAAAGCACTGGAATGTTGTTGGTATCCCTGGAGACCATGTAACTCTTCAACGGGCTCTGGATAGACACTGAGTATGGTGCTTTTTGTGGTTCATGCCCATAAACCGGACCAAGTGTTCAATGCTGCGCATCGTAGCGGCTGACTTCTCCACAAGTTATGTGCTCGATGGGAGTGAACTTCATCACTTGGCTCATCAAGTTGATCTAGGTGCCGACGACTGTTTCCCACTACGCTTTGGAGACTAATGGAGGAAGGCAGATATTGAAGGGTTACGGATGTTGTTGTTTAACCGTCGTTATTTCGGGACCATAACCGCTGATATGTTTGTGAAGCTCATCTAAGCGTTCTTATGACCCCACCTGGAATATTAAGTCCAGGCTTGTCCACCATTACTTTTCCGGGACCAAATGGCACTAGGAAGGGTGTTGCGTGTCGGTACTAAGTTGGTCAAGGGGTACGAAGCCAAACGTACCCTGAGAGCCTACTTAGTTTGCGGATGCATTAAATGCACTATCGAAGGATTAGAGATGACCCCATCCTAACCTAAAGTATTTTGACAAAGAAGGTTGGCCCTGATTTCTCCTGGCTATTTCGCCCTGTTCGAATAGTTGGTCTCCGAGGGCATTATATGAAGCTGTACAAAACGCAGCCGGATCGAGTTAGAGCGGAGGCACTGTTATGGCGTCAAGTTTTGGAGCGCTGCAGCTTGCTTCCATAAAATATTGTCAAGGAAGCTACGCTTAGGGGGTACGCGCATCAACTAGATGTTTTAGGGTGGCAACACGAAACCGTTCCTTTTTCCTGACTAATTCCCATCTTCATACTTCCATTCTATTTTCTGTATTTCCCTCACCATAAGTATTATCCTCGTCTTTTAACTGGTTTCCTATACTCATTACCTTCGACATTCCTTCCTCCATTACTTGCTTGACCTAACTGGCATGGCAGGGACAACTAATGGAAGGAACGTAGGCATTAACTTAGAGCACTATGGCACTTCGGGTGTTTTTCTGTTAGCTCCATTAAGAATGCGGAGCACCCCTATCAGCTCCTGGATCGATAACACGCTAAAGAAATAGCACTTACGGGTTTCATACTATCGTTTCGGTCCCACTTGAACTTGAACTAGCGATCAGCTTCGATATTGCAGCATGATATATGCAGCCACCCCCAACACCCACAGACCGCACTGCATGGCCAATGCCGCCTTCTAAGCAGTTAGTTGCCGGTTTCATTTAATCAAGAGAACGAAATGCACAAGAGCTCGCTATAAGGTCCAACTTCTTCACGAAATGTGTATTACATAGTCGAAACAGGCTTCCTTCCGCTTTAATGTGAATTACCACTATAGTGACCATCAAAAATGGCCGGTCTGATCTTCTCCCGGAATTATTATGCCTTAATTGATAATTGCCACAAACGTGGTAGTCGGTGATCCAAGTAAGTAAAATTACTGCTCTTGTTGTTGGAAGCGATAAGGGAAGCAAATCAAACATCTAAGCACCAGTGACTATGATTTGCTTATCGGTGGAAGAAGCGGGTGCTCGTTAAGCTGGAGCCCATTTCATCCTAGGAAACGAAGCTGATCTGCTCTAGCCTAAAATCACAACGGTGAAACCTAGTATAACCTAGCAAAAAATGAGCAAACAATAACCGCTAGCAAAGTTTCTTAAAATGGTTAAATCTTAGCTATCTTTTATCTTAATCTAGGTTCCATCATGAACTATTCAGTCAGGATGCCGTCTGCCTCAAGGTCGAGTTCGCTAGGGATTATATTCAAATTGAATGACAATTTAGTGCGGATCCGTGGATTTTTAAGTTTTGCTTCACATGTAAGCGTTATATACTGCCTCTAACTTTTAAATAACTTTATTTTAAAGCGGTTTGGTGGGTTGCAGTTGAATATCTTTCCCTCACAGCTTAAACATTAGGTTTTCTCGATTACTTTTTGTTTTTATTCACCAGCCTCTTTTCATGTGTAGTGTACACGAAGGATTTAAATTACCTAGTACAATTCTATCTTTCATGTCTGGTAGAACACCATGCTATCGTTTTTATAGAACTCTGTGCGCTCTGTATTGGTTATAATAGTTTTTCTTATTTGTTTGAAGTTATTAACTTATCAATTCTTCCTAGCTACTTGAATTGCTATGTAAACTGCTGGTTATTTGTTGCATTGTTTATCAAAGCTTATTTTATTACTTTGGGTTTGTTACTGGCAGTTTCTAATAGGCCGCTTTTTTATGGTTTCATCTACTACTTGCGCACATTCATTTGGTAACATTTTCAGCGTTTAACCTCATGAATATATCTACAGCACTCCAAAAAATTTGCAACACTGTCTTACTCAGATTACCCGTAAACTGACTGCCTTGCGTCCCTAAGTCGCTTCATTTTGTCCCGGCTCTGTCACGTTTTTGCGTTGAGGCTTGTCGCGATTGGTCTAATGTAGTTTCGCGTCCAGTTTGATTGCACATTTAGTGTCATCTTTTTGGGGTTTGTTTAGCAGTGATTGTCATTGCGACTTCTCTAACTGTAAGGCAATCACTAATGTTTAACAGTTATTTCAACGCAGTTTCGTATTGCTCCAACATATACAGCCTTAGCAATATTTATTTATCCTCGTTCGGTTTGTCTAGCAGTCATTGCAGTTTATATATTATAATAAATTTAGTTTACCGGTTAAGCACATTTCTCTTATTAGCTGTTGTAAGTTATCCTTTTACTTCGGGACCAATGTTATTGTCTTGAACTTCTAGGACTCATGTCCGTAAATAGCGTGGTAATATTTCTGCAAACTCGCGGCGATAGACTTAAGATATTCTGCTCGGGTGTTGCATTGTGATGAAATTTGTCCTTCAGATGCGCGACTCATAACAATAATATATCTTAATAGAGGTCTTTAACCTCTAACGCATCAATGTCACTGCTTTGTCTTAACAGAGCGTGATTTTCTCCAGTTTATTTTGTTTCATGCTGCGTGCGTTTCGCGGCTATGCATGTACATGACATGTCAAAGAGAATTCAAATTGAAGATTAAACGCACGGGATATGGATATTGTGAAAAACAAGTAGAGTGTAGCTGGACAAGAAAACTGAACTCGTGGTGCACAGTTGAGCGCAAACACATTTGTATGTTCACTTTGCCATGCAGTTATTCAAAAAATCTGACATAAGAACATATGGAAGTAAAACGTTATCTTGCATGTCTACTGCAAATTAACCACAAATTGCTTTTGGTATATCGATTAAAGGGTTTCATGCAAAAACTTTTAGTAAAATCTGAGTTGGTACGCATGTGCGAACAATGGAACTTACATTCAATTATAATTAGCCACTTGTATTATTTATCTAATAAACAACCCAATTACGACAGCTTTAAGTTAATTGCTAAACCGAGTATCATATCCAACCATTTAACCAACTCACCTGAAGTTTACTGACTATTTTATTGTCATTGTAGGCGCGTTATACGACAGAACAACAGTCAAAAGGATGAGGTTTCTTGTACTTTGAATCAGAGTACTACACATAATTTACCATTGCTTTTACTAACGACGCATTTTTATGCGAGTTACAGCGCTGTTATGCTTGTGTAATGGCTACTGAGCAAACGCTTGTCCTCTATTTACGATTAGCTTTTAACACATTCTTCCTTTTTTGCGGTTATCATCACAGTCTGTTATCCTTGTTACATAGATCATGTGCCGGACTAGTTAACTTAACCAACTTGTTATTTCAATAGTAATACGGTGGCCATTAAATATCTCAATGTTTTAAAGTCCTTTGTGGACTTTAAATCACCCCCAATGATAATAATGTGACGAAATACTATAGTTACGTATATTATGGAATAATTTTATTCCTTGAATGCTGTCCAATCTTGTAGCGAAGACATTAAAAATAGCGCCTGGAGCTAATTGACAGAGAGGGTTACGGGACGCAACGCTAATTTGGCTGTATGCAAAACAGGTTGATTAGTGGTTTCTTGCCTTTTTTACGAACCTTATCAAATTTCAAAGGGTTTTAATGTAGATTAGTGTTTCTTCGGTTAACCAATACTGTTCGCAATAAACGGTCTTCCAATAAGGACAAAGCATTTGACATCACTGGTAATTGGGGCTTTCATAGAAATGAAATTGTTCGCTCAAAGGCATTTTGTATTCAAATCTTGACCAATAAACGGTGCTAACATTTTACGCTTTCTCTTGTGACAACAAATAACCGCTATTTAAGTAGCATTTGCAGCTACATTTATGTTCATTGTGGAATGCTAGAAGGGAACTGTTTTATACCAAAGGATTCTATACAGGCTAAATGTCTACAGGATTTGTCTACTCCAGTAACACTCATATTAGCGCTTCAAACAATTGTAGACTATATTTTACTACGTATTTGTAATTATTTTTGTGTATACGCTTGTCATTGCGCAACTGAAAAGGAGTTACTGGCACAAAACGCCAATCTGTAACTGGGTATTTACGTATCGGTTTACTCTGACTTAATTAGTTGGCGGTATTATTTTGTAAAATAAAACAGGTGTATATCACTGGGTAGTATTGTATGTATTAACATACTGTTGTCTTTCGAAAAATGGTGATTATTTTTGTTGAATAACGTGTACTTTTTTTACCGAGTTCAGCATACTACGTTGTGGCAATCAGTACTAGGATTATTTTTATGATTACTAAGCATTCATATCTTTACAGGTAATAATCTAATAACGCACCTGTAGGTGCCTCTGTTAATTTACTATCATAATGGATAGCTTTTATTTGATAGCAAATAGTCAATATCAAGTTTTTGATATATTTTTCGTAAACCGAAGTATACGTTCTATTAAGTGTGGTCTAGATAAACTGCACCATTACTTATTTGCAACGGAAAGGCCTTTCGATATTATTTGTCTTCTACTTTTGTTGCTGATTCTAAAACGTGAAATGCATTATCTCTGGCGGATCTATTGTTAATATATGATATGCAATTTTAGTGGGTACGTGCGTGATGTTCTGTTAACGTTTTGTGACTGATATGAAGGAATGTCATACAGACGCTATTAAATGCGTCGTAGAACTTTGTTTCTGCTTCTCCGATATATTATACTAAGGAAAAATTATGAAAGTTTTGCCAGTCACTTGTTTTGGAGTAATAAGTTAATAGTTTAACTCCACGTAATAACAAAGTGACTCCTTAAGTCAATCACTTGTGCGATTGTGGTTTGCTGTCCATATGCTATCCTCTAGTGGTCGTTTCACAAAAGCTCGCCAAATGCTGGGTAACATAAAAATGCAACGGTAGCGTGTCTCAGCATGTGTGCCAAAGTAAATAAAGAAATAAGTACTTGGTTCCTCAGCAAGGCAAAACACGGCTCAACAAAGTGTGCCAATAATAGTGAACAGACTCGTTTCACAGTAGATTAAACTGATTGTTACTTGTCTAGCAGACATGTTGTCACATCCAATGACGCTCCTTTGAGCGAGTTTTACCAAACGGCACAAATTGTTGCGTAACATTTCCGGCCAGTTTGTATTTCGCTGTTCGATAACCACCAACTGGGTAACTTGCCACAAGTAAGAAAAACTAAGTTAGTTGAACTGAACATGAGATTGGTAAAATGCATTATCAATAACAGGAATGGAAAAAGTGCTATGATTTTGTAGATAAATACACAAAATAAATTCTGATTATCTGAGGTAAATGCGGGACATTAGCTTATGGATTTGTTGTATAACCAGTGATTTTACTGGTGTATGCTAAAACGAAGGTCTACTTTGAGTACTAAGGTGATTTAAAAAACTAAGACAAAAGACCATGGTGTCCAGCATTTTATTGCGTTGAAGTGTGCACTACATAAGGGTATCGCAGCCACGTACTGCGGCAGCCTATTACTATGTGCCAAGGTGAGTTGAAGTGATATAGTTTAGGACTGTGGTTTCCGGCCTACCAGTGTGACAATATTTGCACCTTCCAGTGAAAGTCGTAGGATGCACACACGTAGTGCATGCTGGATGAAGAGTCGACATAGATGGAAGAAGTGCGAATCCCTTAGTCGTTCATCCAATACAATTTTGGTTGTCATCACCCTTTTTGAGTGCGATTCGGCCATTTGCAATGTTATATTTATTCTGGTCAATTAAAATTGAATAGCTTAACTGCTTTAGATATCTTGAATAATTTGTTGACCCAACCGCGGAACACATGCGGTTATGCGTAGGAGCTTGTGAAAACTAGAAGCTAATCACATGCGCTGGTATGTTTATAGAAAAACGCTTTATGAATTTTTAGTGCATAACGTAAGTAGTAGTAGGGTGTTATTTTCCAACTGGTGTGCAGAATCAAATGTGTACAAAACTTTGATCACACCGGCGAACATATATTGGCTACCATGAGCAAAAACATTAAGGAAACGTTAATATTTATTAGGTACGTTAAAGAGGCCCAAAACACTGCTCTGTTTTACGCCATTTGTTAACGAGTGGACACAGGAAACGTAGGTTTTAATCTTGACTGCTTGTGTGCTGCCATTCAGATTGGAGTAGAACCAAGATAACAGTAGTCAACTATGCCAAAAGCTTCCAGAGTTGTTATAAGTCTGTCAAAAAGCACTTGGTTATAAGCTTTTGCTTAGCTAGAAATGTACTGAGTTTCCAGTTTTGGTGAAAGTTGGACCGCGCTCGATTTTAGGTTCAGCACAATTTATGACACTGAATGATGACTTTAGACTAGAAACTGTCAGCTGGCATCCTCATATACAAAAGATAAACGGGCCTTGTGCAAAGGTCATCTAAACATTAATTCTATTTCCATCACCTCCACATTTCTTGTGAGTTTC